TCTGTTAAGAGCAACAAGCTGGTGTGCCCTTGGAGACTAAGGTGGTAACATTAGTGAAGAAGCAGGTTAAGTAAAAGAAAATGTTGATAGAAGCATAAATACAAAATATAGTTTGCTTTCCTTTTAACTCTGCTCTGAGCATAGCAACTGTACAAAGACAACAATAAATAACAATTGAAACTAGCCTTGTGTCAGGGAGGCAAAAAGGGGTAGTGGGTCCTCAGGGAAACAGGAGAGAGAGAGCACAAGCAGTGCCAAGCAGCAGTGCTGCTCAGAACGCCACACGGGTTCTTTCTCAGCTGCTACATTTCCGTTTTGTCAAGAGAACCTAAAAATCCAGATTTTAATATGAAGTCTCCTCATATTAAAAATAATAATTTTAGTAAAAAAAGTACATAACATAAAAATTGCCTTCATAGCAATTTCTAAATTACAGTTCAATGGTGTTGAGTATGTTCACATTGGTGTACAACCAATGTTCAGAACTTTTTCATGCTGCAAAACTGAAACTCTACCTTTAAACAACTCTCCATCGCCCCCTACCCCCAGCCACTGACAACCAGGTTCTGCTTTCTGTTTGTTTTTTGACTCCTTTAGATACCTCCTATAAGTGGAATCATACAGTATTTGTTTTTTTTTTTCTAATGGACTTATTTCATTTAGCATAATGTCCTCAAGGTTATTCATGTTGTAGCATGTGTCAGAATTCTCTGTTTTTAAGGCTGAATAATACTCTATTATATGTATATGCTTCATTTTGTTTATCTGTTCACCCAGTGATGGACACTTGAGTTGCTTCCACTTCTCCACCTCTTAACTACTGTGAATAGGGCTGCTGTGAACTCGGGCATGCAAATATCCCTATGAGCCCCTCCCTGCTTTTATCTCTTTTGAGTATATACCCAACAATGGAGTTGCTGAATAATATGGTAATTCTATGTCTAATTTTTGAGGAGCCACTGTACTATTTTCCACCACAGCTATAGCATTTTCCATCCCCACCATCAGAAAAAGAGTTTCTTTTTCTCCATATCCTTGCCCTTGATTTTAAAATGTTTTTCACCTAAAGAGATTATGGATAATGTCCACTCTTGGCCCCGGTTCTTTTCTGAAAGATAGCCTATCTGAAAGATAAGGTCCATATTGTTTGGAGGAAAATCTAACTGAGGACCTGACAGTGTGAAAGTAGCAAACCCATATTGTTTAATACCAAATTTTGAACGCTGTAAGGCATTAACAGCTAAAACATTTGAAACAGAAGATAGATTTTAAACTTGAGTACAGAAAAGGACAAAAATATACTGAAATTCCAAAAGCAGTCCCAAATGGTTTATTAGCAACCAAGGGTGTCACAAAGACTATATCCCTCTGTGGAAAATACCTTACCCAACTAGTACCGCCCTTTAAATATCTTAGAACAGCTGTATAGAAGTTTTGCTAGATTAGAAATTGCCTTCAAGGAAAAGAGGCTACAGAATGAACCTGATGGTCTGTTCCTCTAGGCAGAACTCACTATTCACTCATATAGAATGGTTAGAAAAAAGTACTTTATATGTCAATGATATGCCCACATTACTTGTTTTTGTTTTTTGTTTTTGGATTTGCAAGAGTAAGGTAACTACAGTGGGGAGGAGGAGGAGAAGAATTTGATGTGCACAAATAGGCACAGGATTCTGTCAAGATGATGATGTTCATTCCACTTCAACTTTAAGAACATTGAGGTAGCCAACCCATACCAACAGAATCCAATAGCAGCCTTTTTGTAAAAGCCCAATTGTACTTGATGTCAACTATTCTTTCGTAGAAAACTCCATGCTTCAGTTTTATTCTACTCTGGCTAATTGATTTTATCATATTATAGAGCAACATGGCCATGGGAGAGATAATCTCAAAGCCATAAGGACTCAGGAAAATTTTAATGAACATGAAACATTACCCCAAAACATACATTTAGGGTGAAATCTGATAAAGTGCAGGACAACCACTCATTTTTCACTCTAAAAATATTTTGAGCAGCAACAAAACTACATACTTATCCAAGTTCTGCTTTGCCTGTGCCAGATATTGTCCATCCATGTAGCAGCTTCATAAAATCACCTGGGGCTTCTACGTTGAATGCATGTGCCTACCTCATTGCTTTGAAATTAGTGACATTCTAATCCAGTGGGATAATCTAAGTTATCAGAACATGTTAGCCTGTCATGGGTAGTTCTCTTAGGGAGACCTGTGTTTGTTGTGGTCACTTTAAATATAAGGAGTCTGAGTTTATACATCAAACTGCATCTCAAGAAGTTTCTTTATAACTGTCCCTCATTTCACCAAGTTATAGTTGAAACAAAATGTCGTAAATACAGGGTGTGGCAAAAGTAGGTTTACTATTGTGAGTATATAAAACATGGTTTATTCTTGTATTATTATGTATTAATTATTGTATTATCTTCCATATAAACAAAAGTAAATCTACTTTTGCCCCACCCTGTAAATTCCATTTGTGCAATTAGATTGATCAGTTACTTCAAAGGTACAACTTGTATCTGTTCAGTATCTATAAAAGACAAATATCTTTTAGAGAGGTATCTATATAAAAGATAGATACCTCTTTAAAAACATTGATGTTATTAGATTTTATGGCCTAAAAAAAGTTTTTCATTCATGATTTTCTCAAAACTAAGCCTGTATTTTTGCAAAAATTATACTGTATATATTCACATCCTAGTAGAAATTCTTACTTTAGCAGTGGAGATATTATAATAATTATAATAATGTCCTGTGATATCATATGATGTAGCAATGTCATTTAAAATAGGATTGTATTTATTCTGCAGACTTTTCTAAATCCAAATTCTTGTTAGTTTTGAGGCAACTTTTATTTCAGTAAATAATGTACAAAAAACCTTTTAAAAAATGTAGAATAGCCTGGACTCTTTCCTAAGAACTTCCCACTGCATGCATTACTGTTGTCCCTTTTTGGATCATGAGTGTGAATTATGTTCATGGCTCTTGACCATGGCCAAGATAACCTGAGCTTGCTATCCATCCCTAATAATAATTATGTTCTGTATAATTATTATGATGACCATCCTTTCTTCTCAGTAGAAAAGTGACTGGACCAACCCAGAAAGGACTAGTCTCTTATTCCTCTGACTCAGACTGTCTTCTGTTGCAGATTGGATTTGAGGACCCTCCCCTCCAGGGACAGGCTGCAGTTTCAGGGAGTGGGAATGGAGCTGATTCTGAGCCAGCTCGCCATGTCTTCTCCTTTTCCTGGTTGAATTCCCTGAAAGAATGATGTTCATTCCAACTGCTGCCCCTCTGTCTGCCTGGCTGAGATGCACACAGGCAGGAGGGAAACTGGATGAAATTTATATGATGCAGATGATGAAAGGGACCTCTGAACAAAATTTCTTTTAAAAAGATCTTTAATTCCAGATGCCTCCTCTAACACATTAATGGAAAACAGTTGCAGAAAGCATTGGAAAAAAGAAACTTGATCTTATGTAAATCTCTTATTGTGTGGGAAACATTACAAAGGATGTGTAAGTGTGGTATGTGTGAGTGTGCGTCAGTAACAAGTGACAAGTGTGGAAAAAAGTGGGCACTACACTCTCATCTCAGACAGGCACTGGCTTTTGTTATTGTATCATAGTAGCTCTTATTCTCTTTCCTTTTTAACAATGCAGATGGTCAGTGAAATTCAGTATTAATTCAGAAGTGACTAATTTATCAATACATGGATGGAAGGTAAATCATTGACCAAAGGTATGAAATGTTTCACAAAGGTTTTCTCTTTTCCCTTATATATATTGCTGGATATATATCTAGAAATGTTCTTTGACTCTGGTGACACTTTCATAGTCCAGAAGGCTGAAAAGGTCTAGGACATTTCTTGTGACATTTTTCTAATCTTAGTTTTAGATATGCAGATATCAGGCACTTTAACTGAAAAAAAAATCTTTTCAACAGGAACTGTCTACTTTCTCATGTATTCACTGAGACACAACTGCATGTATTTAAATATATATACACACAATATAATATATATGTATATATATTTAAGTCATGTTTTATTTGTCCTACTATAATTCCTCCTTCAGAACATAAGTATAACTTTACTCTGTATGAACTCTTAAATAAATGCTGTTTTTAACAATTTAGTCTTATAATGATTTATTCAGTGTTTTCATTTCATCTTATTAACCCATTAGTCAAGTGTATTTAAAAGGTCTCAAGGGAAAAAGCACTTCCATACATCCAAATTAATTTTGAAGGATTACACATTCATGAATTTTTTAAGTTATAACTAAACTACTAAAGGTGAATTCATTGTAAAACTAGTTCAGTGTGTTATTTGATTTTAGAAGTGAATAAAGATAGTTTATATTTCTAAGAATTAAAGTGATTAGGGTTGGCATAGACATAAATAAGGAGGGTGTCTGTGGAATTATTAAAGTCAAAATATTCTTCATATTTTTTTCCTTAAGTGCCATTTTATAGCAACTAAATTTAGCTGTTTTAAGTGGAGAGGCTATCAAGTTCTCCTATTAAAAAGTAACCATTGAAAAATACTTAGAAAAAGTATTTTATGAATAATGTGTGAGAATTCCTCATAGAAAAAAATGCAGCATTTTGGCCCTACAGTTTGGAGAAGTGCCCTTTCTCAATTCTTCCTCTCTTTTCTTTCTTCCTCAAACATCTCAAATTAGTTTGCACCTTATAGTTAATCAGGATTAAATGTCATTTCCATTATGAATTGATTTTAGAACTGAAAGCAACTTCCCAAATTATTTAACTCAATCTCAGAGTAGTAATCTGAGGTACAGAGATGACCCCAAAAGATCACAGGACTTATATTTGTATCTGTGGTGGAAAGAAATGCCAGGGCTTTTGTTTTTTCTTGTGTCGAAGTCAGCTTGGAGGAAGCCAGTAGCTGAGAGTATTTTTTACTACAGGCATTGAAGAGGAGAAATAAAGTCATGATTACGTTTGCAACATTTATTAAAAATATAATTATCGAACATTCTCTTACACAACCAAATTGACCAAGGATTGTAAAGTGGTTTTATTACTGAAACATTTACAAGGAAAAGTTGATTCAAAGAGCTTACAGGTTTTCTCTCACCCACCCAAGAGAACGACATTCTCTTTGGCTTGGGCTGCCAAACAAAATCAGTTGGGTGACTTCTGTCTGCTTCTTCAAAATGTTTCCTCCTGGGTCTATACTCTTTCAATCACCATTAAAGACATTTGGAAATGGAAACTAAAAGTAGACAATACAAATACCATTTCGTTGCTATTACTGCGCATGAATACACTTTGTGCATGCTAATTAAGGAGTAGAGGCGCTCTTGCTGTACATCCTCTACGTTTCAAGCTATATAAAAATAAACAAATGATATTAAACCAACACTATGGTACAGAATACTGTATATTTTTTATTTTTGTGCTAAATGCAGAATCTTTAGGGCAACAGCCAGACGCACCGTTTCATTTCCCAACAATCTCCATCAGTTTCCTGTTGCTGTGAGCTTGCTGCGCTAACTGTTCGGCCCTGGCCAGTTCCAAGACTTCTCGGAGGAGGTGGAAGGTGAGATCCAGCGAGATGGGAGCTTCCTCCGATCGCCTCTCCTTTTCTGGTGCCTCCGAGCGACCGCGGAGGGCGCTCTCAGTGCCACGCCCCGCGGGGCCCGAAAGCCTGTCCAGCGGGCGCCGGCGCTGCGACCGCTGCTGCAGCAACACGCGAAGAAAGTTGTCGGCTACCTGGTCCGGCGAGGGGCGCCTGCCGCCACCGCCCGCGACAGGCGCAGAGGCAGACCAGGAGGGAGCAGCGGTGCTCTTATTGGGGTTGCCCTGGCGGAGGAAGTATTCCTCCCCCATTCGGAGCTGGACTGGCCGAGACTGCAACTGCTGGGGCTGCTGGGGCTGCTGGGGCTGCTGGGGCTGCTGGGGCTGCTGGGGCTGCTGGGGCTGCAGCTGGGGCTGCAGCTGCGGCTGGAAGAAAACCGTGGGTTGGGGGAGCTGCCGGGAGCCTGGGCCAGGCCCGCGGATGAGGAGGGCCCTGCATGGTGTGCAGGGCAGGAGTGCCACGAGCAGGATTCCCACGGACACGAGCAGCGGCAGTCTCATGTTAGGGGCGCTAGCTGCGACACAGGTGTGGGCAGAGGGCGGAGTAAGAGAAGGAAAGAGAGAAAGAGTTGGTCAGAGTTTAGCTCAACAGGAGACGCGCTTAGGGGAGGGGCAGGGGTCTTCCTACTGGGCGCCAGTAAACGAGCTCCGGGCTCAGGAGGGCGCTGTCCGAGGTGTTGAAGCCCTCGAGCCGCGACTAAGAGAGCGGGTGTGCAGGGGGACCAGGAAAAGGCACGCCTGCGGGGGGCTCGGAGCCAAAGCTCAGCCCCTCGCCCAGCTGGAGTGACCCTTCTCCTTCTAGACCCCTGCAGTCCCCTTTCTATCCCTGGGCCCCTTTCTAACGGCCCCCGAAACTGATTTCTCCGAGCTCTAGAGAGGATCTACAAATTTAAGATCTCAGCTGCTCTAAGCCCCGACCCCTTTCCGGATGTTTCAGCGTTTTCCTCCAAATTGAGAACTTCTGCCTTCTCCTCCTCCTCTATCCCTGCCCCGGCGTCCTTCTTTCAGGGATCAGGACCGGTGGGGCGCTCCGCTGCACAGCCAGCGAGGAGTAACTGGAAGTTCGGGTAACGATGAGTAGCCGTCTAAGTTTGCTTTTGCCACATCCCAGCTACTATCGGGATGTTGAGGAACCGTCGGGAACCACATACACACACACACACACACACACACACACACACACACGCACACACACACACACGCATGCACACACAAACGCCCGCCAGCCCGCCCGCCCGCACAGGGACAGCGGCCGCGGCTCCGCGGCGCGCAGGAGGCAGCCCGGGCTGCGTGGAGCTGGAGGCACGTTCCGTCTAAGCGCTCCCTACCTCCTGAGGCGCTGCTGCAGAGGAACGTCTTCGCGGCTCTTAAGGGGGATTTCTTTCCTTCTCCTTTCTGTATCCACTCTGTTTTTGTCTCCCTCTTCTCTTTCTCTTCAGTCTCTCAACGGACTTGGGCTCTGAGTTTCTCCACACCAGAGCCTGGAGTGCGCTTTTATAGCATCGACCCTCTTCAGAAACCACGCATTTGCCTAATAAGCTGACGTTCTCTTGACAGCTCGATTGCGTGCTGCCTCTGCTCCTGCATAAATCATAAGGCCTTGCCAGGGAACTAGGGGCAGAATTTTTGCTATCTCAACACTGAATCTCACATCCAATTATATCAACAGATATTTATCGCCTCCTCGGTGACGTCAAACAGCCCTAAAATGGAAGGACTTCTTATGACTTGTCCATTGACAAAAATTCTTGAATGAGATTTCCCAAGTGTGAAAGCATATTGACCTCTTGCTACGGAAAAGCCATTCTGAGGATCAGAAAAAGAGACAGCGAATGGGAGGGGATAGGAAAGGAAAGTTCAAGGGGCGGGAGGTCTATCGATGCACAGTCCTATAGGGAAAGCAACCAGTTACAGGAGCAGTTCTGGATCCTCTCCCCTTGTCCTCCTAACTTCACTGACCCAAGCTGTCTTGGGCAATACCTCAGTATCTGAAAATATCCCTTTGCTAAGAGACAAAGTTTCCCATCACCTTCCTGCCTGGATAAGAATGAAGAACTAGGAGCTGGACTACAGGGACACTCAGTTTTTAAGCCTCTAATTGCTTTTTCTTCCCAAGAACAGATAACAGAATTATGAACCTACAGAGCCGAGACCAATAAGCCTCTTAAAATGTAGCTCAGGTTTTTAAAATAATGGCAAGAGCTACTCCTATGATGAAGTGGGACAAACCAGGTTCAGTCTGGGGTGCAGCAAAGATCTTAAGTTCTTCCAGGACCTTATTGCTCCTTCTTTGTCTCTTCCATCAGAACCTGAAAGTAACTGTGGACTTTTCTATTCCCAAATTAGAGATAGAAAGGACTAGTGAGAGGTGTATGAGTTAAACAATCTTTATTTAGTTTACTAAGTACAAACCCAATGAGAAAAGCATCTGTTAACTTCCTATTTCATCTTGGAAAAGGCTTAATCTGCTTTATAATGGAGCATGTTTACATTAATGGATTAAACCTGTTAAAAGGTAAACTACTCATTCATTATACTTCCAAATACTATTAACATCTACAACATCTATGGATACAATAATATCCATATCAGGGGCACCTAGGGTTTTTTAAAATTAGTAATCATTTATTTTTACAAATTCAATGTGTTCCATGGGAGACTGATAAATAAATAAATAAATGCTCTCTGGCACCACCACAGAATGGAATGCATATAAAACGCACTCTCACATTTTGAATTAAACTGATACTACCATATAGGTGGGAGGCAGTTACCTCTAATTCTGCAATTCAAAATGCAGTGAATGTCAGACTCTGGTCTGACAGTTCAGCTTCTAGATAACAATCAGAGTTGTTTATCAGAAATTTCCTCATTCCTCACTTCTGGTACCTCTGCTGCTTTCCTTGTTGCTAACATGGCAAATGATGCAATGCATATTCCAACACCTATTTGGGTTCTATACCAATCTACAACTTCTCTTAGAAATAAAAAGAAGGTAAAAAGAGAAATTCTGGTAGTTTCCAGAGAAGTCAGCCCATAGTTGGATCATTGTCCCACAGAACATCCTTTTGATAGGGGAGAACAGAGAAAGAAATGTGTCTTTAAGGAAAGATGTGAGTTGTTAATAGAATATCATGATTGTGGACAATGATTGAGATTTCAGAGGAAAGTTGTGTTTTATGTTGTCAGGGAGCCTACAAAACCTTAACTTTTGTTTTTGTGGGGTTTTATCACTTTTAAGTTGGAATGAATCTCAACTTTTTTGCTTACTTTCCTTTATGAACCCTTCTCTGTTCCTATTGGCAGATACCAGCTTGGATGTCACTCTGGAAGTGGAATTAGATTTGGAAGGTGAAATTTAGGTAAATGGATGCAGAAGAAGAACAAAGAAAGGAATAAATCCAGCACATTAGCTAGGGAGACCCAGGCAGTTCCTCCAGAGAAGACATGTTTTGGGCCTATCTTATTGGGCCATATGGAAGATGTTGTTTTAACAGAGCTCCCTCATCATTGTTGAATCCTTGCTGTGAGATTTTCCTAGAGTAGGCAGTTAGGGTCAAAGTGACTCTGACTAAGAGTGAGGAAAAAAAGGCCTATATCCCTGAAGAACAGGGAGTGGGCAGAGTAGTCCCTCCCTACTGATAATTTATCCCAAAGTTAGATCTCATCAAATCACTGAATGTTCACCTTAGAATTGGCTTGAAGAGATCATTTGGTTTAAATGAGAACCAGAGAGGTTAGTGACTTACCTGAAGTCACTCAACTAGTTATGGGAGGTTCTTTTGACCACCAGCTCTATTATTTTTACAATGTAACAATGCCCTTTGAACTTCTTTTTCCAGCAGAAACACATGAACAAACTTAAGTGAGAAGACAAATTTAGGTAAAATGTTATATTCATACACTAATCCTGAGGTAACTTTTCTTAGACTTTCCTTGTATTGATAAATCTTATCACATATATATCTCCCTAGCCATGAGAACACAGAGATTCTCTGTGCATGCTGATGCCCGGGAACCCAATTTTAAGTGTCTGCATGCACCCGCTGCAATTTACTTTTAAGCTGAATCATGTAACAGGAAGTTTTTTAATGCATTGCCAACTTAAGATGCATTAATTTTGATATAGAGTGATATAGTTCTCAAAATAAGGATAGAGATGTATGATTAGAAAAATAACATGGTGCAGAGGACTTACATGTGCAGTAAACTAAATGCCAAAGTCTGCAAAAACACCACTGACAGATTCTATCTCACATGAAGGAATAACTTTTTGAAAGGAGTCATTGGAGAACCAATGTAAATAAAACATAATATATGGGATAGCTAAAATTTAAAAGATATGGCACAGCAGTCCAGTGAATATAGAAATATCAAAAACAATAGGTAACTGCTGGGCTTATTCCTGTCATCTTTATATCCTTGCTCTTTTGAGGAGTATTGCAATGCATTGCTTCTATTGGCAAAGTTCATGGCAAACAAAGTCTACAAGTCTGCTGACTGAAACATTTGTTGAAAGAAATCTACCATCTCCAATGACAGCATTTAAAAATGCCTAAGGTGGACAGGTGGTTTAGTAACTGCTTGTCACTGTGCTTTAGATGGATTAATAACTACCCCCACATCCATTGGAAGAGCTAGAGAAAGGATCTTACACAGCATAAATATCTAACTGTCTCACAGGTAATGTAATTTCTAGTCTCTGATTATCAAAGCTATTCATCTTCCTTGTAAAAACTTGGAACACTGAGAAAGGTATAAAGAAGAATATAAAATTGCTCATATTCTAGAATGTAAAGACAATCTCAGTTAACATTTTGTTGTTTCCCTTGAGAAATTTTTCTGAGTTTATACATTTTACTTAATTGAGGTAAGACTGTGTTCCTGACTGTGAATCTCTACTAAAACAAACAAACAAACAAACAAACAAACAAACAAAAAACACACCAGAAAAACCCTCTCTTAGTTAAGAGAAAGATAATTGGTTGAAGGAATCTTTTCCAGATTCCTAGGTTAGGTTTAGGACCTGTGTTTTTTGTTCACCTAACATCATGAATGTCCTCCATCATAAAGCTCACATTGTAAAATCATGACTGATACCACATGCATCTTCCTTGCTGAACTGTCAACTGTGTGATGGAGATTTGATTCTATTTATGAACTTCCATATTCATTACTCCAGCCCCTAGTAAATACTAAAATATGGTAGATACCCAACAAGCCTTGAATAGGTAAACTATAGAAAATTTGTTGAATGAATAAAGTATAAAACAACCATTCATAAGACTATTCATCCATAAATAACTAGATATTTTGTAACTAAAATTTTATAACCTACTTTTCACTTAAAATTATATTTCAAATATTTTCCTATATCTAAATGACATCCATTTTATTGATAGCATGGTATTCCTTCAAGAAATGTATCACAATTTCTATTTATTCCTCATTGTTGATCACCATTCTAATAACCTGCTTTCTAATTTTTCTTCAGGATCTTGCCCTTACATCTTTAAATAATACTCCCACAGAATCTCTTTCTGATCCTTCAAATATGAACATTACCTGTTTACTCCCCATACTGTAAAATATAGACTATTACTATCCCTTCAGATTTTTATATACTCTCCTGCACCTTGATAACCCAAGCTCTGTCGTCTGTACTTTTACTTCGAGAATGCCAGTGTTACTATTTTTATAACCATGGTTAAGTCTTGTACTTTGACTGTAGATTGACCTAAATGTAAAGTTTGATATAGTTATTAATTATTGACTACATAAAAATTGTTCACTGTAGAACAAAGTCATAGCTCTGATTAGATTTCCTTCCTTGTTTTTGTCTTACAATTATCACTGTCTTTTTTATATTCACAGTTTGGTTTTTCCTAGAATTGTTTTAATTATTTTCCCAATTTTCTTCAGATTTCCAATCACAACAAGTAATCTATCAAGTCCTCCTGCTCTTTTTAAGACTCCTCTCTGTGAACACGCAAACCTGCTGCTTTCAGTCTGGTCACTTTCTATTTAAAAATTATTATTTGTGTTTTCTATTAAAAGACTCGACCTCAAAATTAAAATAGCAGGTTATTTTGCCAAAAAGTAAAGAGTGTATTCAGGAGGCTGATCACTTTCTAAATCTGCTGCACATCTTTCTTTCTGGGATTTTCTGTTTTTCTGAATTAAATTCACTTTATGATTTATTTACTCTTGATATGTGCATTTACTTTGCTAGAATACAGCCACAGATAAGTTTCTGAAAAAAAGGATGTATGGTAGGTAAATTTTCTGAGTTCTTGCATTTCTGAAAATGGTTTTATTTTACCCAAGTCCTTAAGTGGTATTTTAGCAAGGTACACAATTTCAGGTCAAACATAGGTTTTTC